AAAAAATACAAAACAAATATGGCTTGTTTAGACAAGAGAATATATTGTTCTATCTAGACAAAAAATGTAGCAGCACAACTTACATATGGAAAGTTGCATCTTAATGAACCAAGAAGAGGTTTTAGCCACAATTTTTTCACAATATATTGGAGAAATCCAAGAACAACCTGGAATCTATGTGATTATTGTTTTGACCAGAAACTTCTCTGTAAAACAAAGTATTTTAGTCTGAGATGTGAGGCCATCTGTTCAACAGCTGAAGCTTGGCCAAACCCGGGTCATCAACATGGCAATGGTCTCAAACAGCAGAAAATCTGGACAATAGCTGAAAATTTACGACACAATGTCTAAAAGAAAAAACAACAACAAAAAAAAAACAGTCCTCAACCTGCAGAAATGAATGTCTAGAAACCTCAATAAACTAAATAAAGTATGTTGGAAATAAAAACTGGAAAACAATTGCTCCAACAAGGACAGAGGTGGATACTGAAGGTATTTCCCATGACTGATTAAAAATCTGTGGACAAAATATTTTTCTTTTGTGGCGATATGAAAACAAAATCTATTGGGTAACTCAAAGAAGCATTCATGTATTACTATTTGTGGTCAGTGATGTGATTAGGAAAATGTTAGCTCTTCACTGTTTGGTGATGTAGCTGTTTGCATTTTTATACTTGTTCATTTCCAATTTCGTTCCTTCCCGTTGCAAAACTTCAATCTGTAAACCCAGACATGCTTACTTGGGGAACAGAGTTTAAACTACACAGCTTCAAAAATTTCAGGAGTAAGTTTGCTGCGCTGAAGTTAAACACCAAGACTGTCCTGAAAGGCAGTGTGAAATGCTGCCAGTGTTGCTAGATTGTTGCTCAATTAAACTGGTAGCCTTCTACAAGAAAGAAAGTAAAATAAACAGAAACAAAATCCTAAGTCCAATTAAAGGCGTTGAGAGGTTAATATCTGCTGATAAAAGCTTAAAACATCTAAGTTTGTGCCTGAAATAGATCGTAAAGCACAAGTCAGACATTTTAAAGTGATGTTTTGGGCAAAATAAATTACAAATCAACTGACCTAATTTCCTTTCATGCCAGTAATATTAACTTGGTATTTTGACAGAAATAATGATATATGCATCTAATTGAAAACACTTTAGATCAGTCACCACTTGTGCAATTGGTATTTAAGATATGTGCTATGTTTATTCATCTGGATTGAACTTTTAAATTGTAGAGTAAGGGCTTTCACTTTGAGGTTTCACATAAAAACTTAAACTAGGATAGGAGCCAGCAACATTTTGGCACAGTCAAAACAAAGTCCCCTTCCAAACTGATTACCCTGTTGCCAATTTAGGTGTCCTTAGTGGACCTTTAAGTTGTATGTGCATCCAGACAGCTGGATGCACATACACACAGAAATGCACACAGAAAGGGAACTGATTAAAATGGGAATGAAGCAGTCAGATTATCAGCAGCAACACCCCTTATAGTCATACTTGCAGAACTTACACTTTCTATGGGTGTTAGAAACACAGTGATGTGGTCAGAATACCATTCAGAACAATCACGGCTTTATTCCTCATTTTTATCTGATTTTATTTTTTCATTTAGTATGTTTCAGTATCTTCTGCGACAGACTGGCCTGTGCAGGGTTTAATCCCTGGCCAAGGGTGTTAGGAAATGGATGGATGTTTCAGAGCCATATTTAAGTAAGTAGTCTTCCTGCTGGGAGGATCTGATGTCGAACCTGATTACGCAAGTGCTTATGCGGAACCTAAACTGTTTGTTTAAATGAGTGTGGAATTGTTGAAATTTCTTTCTAGTGCTTCAGATTGTCAGAAATCTGAAGCAGAAACTTTTCTGGTCTGTTATTTATACGTCAGATTATGGACATTGACACTTCTTTTCACTGCAGTTGGTCTTGTTCTGAGTAGAAAGAGCCAAATATGCAAAGTCAAAGTCCGACATACTTGAAATGAATGAGGCAATCTTTTTCTATTTACGAAATTAATAAAAAATAAGTTAAGAAACTGTGACTGTCATTAATCCAACTGTCAGACTGAAGTAAAGTCATTCAGCCACAATGAAACAATAGCAGTGGAATATAAGTCAAAACAATATTGCAAAGCCAAACTAATGACAACAGGAGTTGATTTTAGAGGCAAATCTCTGGTTGCTCTTTCCTTGTTTCCATTGCCGTATTAGTTTTCAAGCAAATGTGTACAAAAGGGCATGCCATGCTGTGCAAGGAACCTTTTATCAGTGTAATACTTAACATTTTATTATTACCAAGAGCTCAATATGCTAGGCTTTACTATGACGGAATAATTTTAGATACTCACTCATCAATGTTGTGCTGAAAAAGTGTTTAAACTCCAGTGTTTTGTTCCAACATACAGGTATTATGGTTTTGGGAGGCAAAGAGGCCTTTCTGAAATCAGGGTTTGCAAAATTATTAAGAGCAATAATTGTCTTTCATGTAGCTGACATTTCTCATTGCAGTGAGATTGTAAAAACATGCATCATCTACATCCTTGATTTTGACAATTTGAAACTGAAGCCAAATATTTTGACATCTATGGAATATCAATAAATGTTAGCAAATGCTAATAATCATCAGCACTTTCACAAGAGACAGTAGCTAAGCTGATTTAAGTCAAACAATGTCCATGTTGCAATGGTAAAATCATAGTGGTTGAAAGTACCTGCTGCATTAATCATCTTCATCAGCAACAACCTGCCAGTCTACACTAAGACCATCAAACAGATGCAACCTATAACAGGAACTGGCTATTATAGGTTTAATAACATTAAGGTAGGTAAGTTGCTGTGCTTTTCATGACCTCATACCTCTTTGGAAATTTCACCGACAGACTCGCAGTCAGCTCATCAACTGGACTGACACAGCTGGGTATGCTGAGAAAACAGCATGACGGGTGTTATGTTGTAAAGTTTGCTCTTCTAAATAAACTTTACAAAACTGTTCCTTTTGTTATATATATTAAAACGTGCAGTTTTATCTGCTTAAACCACCTAGAGGGACTTCTGACGTCCCCTTTGTCATTAACTTCTCTGAGAATTTATTCAGTTTTCTAAAGATTTACTGCAAACTGGCATTTACCATCAGGAGGAAGAGGAACCTTTACCGATAATTTAATATTTCTATGCTATATGGCTTAACACCCTTTTGTACAGTATACTAGGTTTTACTATGACGGAATAATTTTAGATATTCACTCATCAATGTTGTGCTGAAAAAGTGTTTAAACTGCAGAGTTTTGTTCCAACACACAGGCATTATGTTTTTGCCTTTTTTTTGCCTCCTTTGTTTGCACTGGGGAACGCACACAAAGAAGTGTTTACAAAGTTACTGAACCCTGACTGATGTGTTGCTTTGAGTGCATTGGTTCTAGGTGTGTTATAAGGGTGATGTGTGGTAAGCTGAGTGATCCAGGTACCTCAGAAAAACAATCTCAAAATCCTCCAATAACAGAGATTGAAGGCAAGAAGCAGAAAGAATGTTCATGAAGTAAGAGTTTTGACACAAGAACAAAGCTGCAGTTCCTGGCCAGGTTTACAGGATGTCAAGTTTGATGGTATTCTCTACTTTCAAACTCTGGTGGGACTAATCCAAGGACTGACTTACACCATCCAAAAGGTTAGCAGCAACAATTAGACTATTAAAAGATTGTACAGTGATACAGTCAGCAGTTGCATGTTCATTAACTTATTAAACATATTTTGTGTCACTGCTAATTATCACACAGTTGGGGTAAAGTAATAAGCAGATGACAAAAATACCCAGGTAAAGCTGTAACCTGCTCTTTAGCATTGCATATTTGCAAGGTAAATGAATCAGAACCTCAAATTTATTCAGCTAAATTATAAAGTCAACACTGCAGGTAAGACACTATTCTAATATTTGGCTTATATTTAAGAAAACTAGCAAGATTATATTTGCAATATTTAAAGTCAATCAAAAAACAAATTAATTGGTCAGCTTATTTTTCTTGCTATGTCCCCAAATAAAAGTACTAGAATTACAGACAAAATTGTACAAATTTATGTGGAATAGCACCTAAACTACCTCTTAGAAAAGGGAAAAGTGTTACAACCAATGCAGTCCATACTTTATCCAGCAATCCTAGGTTGGAACATTGGACATTTGCATATAGTTCAGCTACTGAAGTGAGCTGAGTTATTTAAGATAACTCTACTAAATTGTTTAGCTTTTTGATGCATAGTCCCTTGAATGTAAAAGTAATTTGTTCATTAGCTATTTATGATTTGCAGTGGTAACGTGTCCCTTGCAAACAACCTCTCTACCCAATAATTAGTTGGTTAAGATCTGGTCATTTCACATGTTGTTTAAGCATTGCTTCTCTGCACTTAAAGAAGCCATTTGGAATGGTTTGGGTATTTCATACAGAATGACTGACTGTATGTCACCTAAACCCCCTCAATCTGAGGTTCTTTTGGACATTTTCCACTGAGAAAAGGCCTTGAGTGAAGCCCAGAACTCCCAACTGCACCTAAACAACAGGCAGAGTTTGTTTCTTTACACTGAAGTCGATTTTCTTTAGCATGATCACAAGACTATATTTCTGTGTTGAAAAGCCAATATTAAAACAGGCACCTGTGTGTTTACTTTACTGTAAAGTAGTGGAAATTGATATCTGAAATAATTCAAATCTTGAGTTAAATTAATGAGACACAGCTCTGTAGTTCTGCTTTATAAAATATAAAACTGTTTTAAAAAATTCCCTTTTTTTGAATAGGTTTTTCTGCAAAAGAAAGTTAGTAAATCATTTCAAGTCAAAGTCCTTTCAAGTCTTGTTCTTTTCTTGCTCTCTTTCCTCACCCAAAATAATTTTATTTGGAAATCAGCACAAATTATAACAAGGAAATTTAATCTTGAATATTTTATGCTTTTTCTTTTTTCCTCCCAGAAGCACCAATTTTGCAGATTTTTATTTATTTATTTTTTTACCACCTTTTACTATCCAAAAAATCATTCATACAAGCTCACAGTTTCTTAGAAATTCAGCAGCATGTTCTGTGTTAAAATTAATCAGATGGAGGAGAATGGACATAATATTTGGATGTTCCAACATTTAAATTAATTGTGATGCTGGTTAAAATTTGAGCAGCCAATAACTTTCAAAATTCACCAATGAGTAATGACCCCTTACTAAAGACAGTTATGAGGAGACAAATTACTAAGAGTTACTTTCAATGTCTGGTCCCAGTTTGACTCGCTACATTTTAAAATCTCTGTTTCCCTGAAGGCAGCACTGATAACTCTCAGTATGGCATCATTTATTTGACCTCTTCTTTATCCTCCTCTTCACCTGGAGCTGTTTTTCTCTTATACTACATGTTCCAGCTTCTTCCTTTCACAGTGTTGTTTGTATTTGTCCCCTTTTCTAGTAGTATTTTATTTCTTTTGCTCATGGCTTTTTAATAATTGTTTCTTGGGTGTTAAAAAAACACTTCTAGCTCTGGGCATTTTATCTCAGCAGTGAAACTTGAAGATAATCAGGACGATCCTCTTGTACTCCTTTCTGAAGTTGTGATTCAGGACGCCATAGATGACAGCATTGAGGCAGCTGTTGAAGTATGCCATGAAGTAGCTGGCTGTGAACAGCCACTCTGGGATGGATCGGCTTAGCCTGGAATCCAGCGCTACCACCAAGCCGATCAGGTTCAGCGGCGCCCAGCACACGGCGAATAGCACAAACACCACGAACATGGTGAGAAAGTTGCGAAGGTCGTGGGGTTTGATTTTGGGCCGCGAGTCCGGCTTTACTCTCCGCCTGACCTGGATTACCAGAATCCAGATGCGCAGGTAGCAGTAGGTGACAATGCTCATGGGCAGTATGAAGTGCACCACAACCACTGTGATGGTGTACAGCGAGCTAACCGACTGCGCGAAGGTGCAGGAGTATACCCGCGGGTCGTACTGCAGTGACTCCACAAACCAGTTGGGCACGATGGCTAGGATTGTGAGCATCCAGACAAGCATAATATAGCACATAGTGTTGCTGCTGGAGAAAACTTTGTCGTACTTGAGGTTGTGGCAGATGTAGCAGTATCGATTGATTGCGATGCCAGTTATGTTGAAGATTGAGCCGATGACACTGAGGCCCATGAGGAAGCCGCTGATCTGACAGTGGATGTAACCTGCAATCCAGCCATTATGGAAGATGGCTGTCAGGACCAGCGGGTACGGATAGATGGCCACCACCAAGTCAGCAAAGGCCAGGCTAACCACAAAGGCATTTCCTACAAAAAACAGAAAGTGAGAAAAAGACACAAGTTTAATACAACAAATGCTTTACACAGCTGAATTTTGTGTAAACATTTAAATTCATCTCCTGTTTCGTCTTAGTCTTCAAAAAAACAGATTTCTACAATTTTCTCTAAAGTGTTCTTAATAATTATTTTCAAGGGGCTTTCAAAGTTTTTTTGTTTGCTTCATAACTCATTTTTGATTAATTGTCTTGCAGTTGTCAGGTAAATCCTTTTTGATTGTGAAGTCATTAACTATAACCTAAATTTTTCCCGTTTATTTTATTGAATTTATTTTAACCAGTTCACTAATTATTTGTAATAGGTGGAGTTTAATTTTGTAATTCAAAAAGCACCCTCAGGTTCTGTTTAAGTAAATCAACTCACTTTCTTTAGGCTTTGACATTTCAAAAGAGATATTTTTTGATAAACCTCAAGAAAGGAGAGTAATGAACAGACTCAGTAGTTGCAGTGCTTTTGTGCTTGTTTCTTTATTTAAATTTGTGCCAAGAAAAAGAAGGCTCCCATTGAAGTTCATTGAGCAGAATGATTTCCAGACATGACAACAACACACACAAAAAAAATATTTCCTTTCAAGCCTTTGCAGAAAGATTTTCTGGGGTGAAAGGATTAAAAGACTTCTATCACTTCTTTCATTCTTTCATTCTCTGAGACAACTTGCAGCCTTTTCATCTGTACTGATTTTGCAGAAACAAAATGAATGTTGTGGTTAATTAAACAACAATAAAAAAAACAAGTTTTAAGATACTTGTTCAACAAAGAAGAAATACATCTGATTACTTTTTATTGGAACCAAGAGGAAACTGATGTGCATATTTAGTAAAGATGCTAATGGTCTGAAAGTAAGATGAGCTGTGGTCAAAACAATGTGAGCCCATCCCATTTGTCCCATGCTAAAGACTTTAATGATAAGGTTATTTATCATTTCTGTCTTGCGCAGGTCTTAGAATTCCTCTTGAGGATCTGAAGAGATTCTAAGCAGAAACATGTTGGAGTTTCTCTCATGGACTTGTTGCCTGATAAGCGGAGGACACTTAACACTCTTAAGGGCCGAGTGTCATGGTTCCATGCAGGATTTACGAAACAGCATCCAGTTTCAGTGTACACTTGGGAATTGTACACAATAGTTATTTACATGAGACTCCTACATTTATTCATTACTTCAGCGGCTTCAGCTGCAGAATATGTGGCACGGATAGACAGAATGTGGCAAAGAAGGACGTTCTCCCACATAAAACTATGATCTTTCAACGCAGACTTGAAAGAGGCACTAAACGACAAATCAAAACTTAGAATCCAGTTTGTCACATAAAGTCCATGGTAATGTTGTAAGGTCATAAGTTTATTATAACAGGACATTTCCCATCATTTAATAGTCACATTTGGAGAGTCTGAGCCAGAAAAACTCTTTTCTTTGGGGAGACAAAGAAATTATTTACCAAACCCCTTTGCAGAAATGTATTAATTAAACCAATCCATGTTTTACATTGAGTAGGTGGATAGATGAATGAATATGTGTAAAATATAACTTGAATGAAAATACATTTACAGGATAAACTGGTTGGTTGTATTACAGCATCTGAGTAAGCAGTGTATGTTTGATGTGTCCACATGTACCCTACTTTAATAAACTGAGCTTTTCAGCTGCAATAGTACAAAGGAAGGAACGATTTAAATGCAGGGCACTTCACTTGGGGCAGCAGGTAAATGTTAAACCCATAATTCAGAAACTCAAAGACTATCTCTCCTATGTAAGACCTCTATGGCAAATCAGGTGAGCTTTTTTTTATTATTATTATTGTTAAAACATACTGTATCTGCCAAAGCAAATAGCTGAAAATTGGAATAAAATTGAAACCACCTGCGACTTTGGCTGGTAGAGCTGTGTTTATATCTCCCCAGGGAGCAACAACACGTTACAGCTTGAGCTGCCTGAAGTGGTTAGAGCAGTCACTGCTACACTGAAGAAAGTTGTTAGTTATGTTCATCATTTCTAACACTTGATGGCATTATTAAAGTGCACTGATGAACTTTGAAGAGATTAATTATGGAGAGATGTTGGAGATATTTCATTAAGTTATTTTCTTGCTTGCGTCTTGTTTTTTTTTTTTTTTTTACTGGTATGCATCTTGTTTTAAAAATACAAAATTTTGCTTGTTTGAATTCAAAATATACTAGAACAAATTTACCAATCTTACTAAATAACACAACTTCGCATTGTGAAAATGTTGCATATAGTCTGTCGAGCTCATGGCTCTACAACAAGTTTGTCTTCCATTATCTTGGTTTCCAGTGTGGTGCATCCTTTGTCACCTCTGTGGAAGCGTTAGAGACTTTAGATGCAGCTCATTCGGCGGCCTGTTGCTTTGTCTGGCGACTGCAGACTGTTTCAAATCGCACTTTATTAGATCAACAGAGAGGGCATCCAAAATCTTGTTTTGTTATCTTGTTTCAGACTCAGTTTCTTTTCTTTTCTAGACATTATAAAGACATTTTACTAAACACAGAGTGTAGATTCCAGAGGCAACTGAATCAAACAACACAGAGCAAAGAAAAACAAACTTTCAAGAATAAAAGGAGGATCTTATCATGGAGGCAAGCGCAACATAATTAAATACCTCAGAGTCGCAGCAGAAGACATGAAGTTATTGAAAGCCCCCAAAGAAGTGGAAAGGGAATACATATGTACAAATTTAAGAATAATATGAACATATATAATTAGTAGGACATCTAAAATAATTTATATTTCCTAAAAGCGCAATATTTCTTGCTAGACATCTCAGAAAATTAAATGGTCATTTTGTAGAGGTGATCACCCTGTACCACTGCGTGGATCTGATGGAAGCCCAGATTGCTTAGATAAATGCCTTCAGGTCATCTGCCATTTTGCGTCTGGTGTCGTTTATCTTCCTCTGTACAACAACCCATAGATTTTCTTTGAGGTTCAGGTCAGGGGAGTTTGCTGGCCAATCAAGAAAAGGAACACCATGCATGGTCATTTAACCAGATGGTAGTATCTTTGGTTGTATTGGCAGGTGCCAAGTCCTGCTGGAAAATAAAATCAGCACAGCCATACTGCCAGACATCCAAGGGAAGCAGGAAGTGATGCAGAATTTGCTGGTAGATTGAAAACACAGTGGACCAACATCAGCAGGTGACAAGCCACCTCAATTCATCACTGACCATGGAAACTTAACTCTGGACTTCCAGCAATGTGGATTGTGTGCCTCTTTATTCTCTTGCCATACATTAGGACCATAATTTTAAAAGAAAATGCATAATTTATTCTGAAAACAGTCCTCTGGATCATTTTTGTAACAGTGCAGTTCCTATTCTCCATAGCCCAGGTAAAAGATCTTTGACATTGTTTCTGGTTCAAGAGTTCGCTGACATGGGGAATACAACATTTATGTTATACGCTGTGACTAAATAGTGAAGAGAAGCTGTTGCAGAGTTGAATCGCCTCAGTGTGTATAAAGAGCGTCTCACCTCTCAACTGCTTCTGTAATAAATATGTTGTGGTGAAAGCTTTTATCACAGCACACAAAGGGAGCGTGGCCATTAACCTTGGCGACCTTAATAAGACCTTGTTAAACCTAAATTCAGTGTTTATCACCCCATGACTCCATCTTCATTATGAGGAGTCCTCGCTGTTAATATTCCGGATGATACTCTTTGTCTGCTGCAAATCACAAGTTTCAAGCAAAGAGCTGTGGCAAACAGAACAGACACAGGGGACTTGTTAACCACCAGTCAATTTGTATTAGTTGGTGGTTCTGTCTTTATTACCACGGTTGCCCTTGGCGGAAAAGATCCCATCCTCTGGTGTTTGCTGAACGTAAATGTTAATAAGACAGAAATAAAATGGTGACATTGTTAACGTTTCAATTCCCAAAGTAGTTGGGATTCATTAGAGATGTTCTTGCTGTAAATACTTGAGACGATGCATTTAATGAAAATGCCATCTCTTTGCTGTTACCCTCTTTAACTAGGAACATTGTTAAGATAATCTATCTATCTATCTATCTATCTATCTATCTATCTATCTATCTATCTATCTATCTATCTATCTATCTATCTATCTATCTATCTATCTATCTATCTATCTATCTATCTATCTATCTATCTATCTATCTATCTATCTATCTATCTATCTATCTATCTATCTATCTATCTATCTATCTATCTATCTATCTATCTATCTATCTATCTATCTATCTATATCTATCTATCTATCTAAAAATCTATCTGCATCTATCAGCATCTATCAGCTGCAGCTATGCAGAATGAAAGGGCCTTTTAAGTAAAAGTTTTCTTTTCTCCGAAGATGCCAAAGTCATAAGAAACCATACCTACGTACAGCCTTGAGACCTATTGATCAAAGCCACTTTAAAAGATTACACAAGAGTCTGTCTTTTAAAAGCCAAATGTGAAAGTGAAATGGGTTAAGATGTCTGATCCGTACTACACTTTCCTGAACCTAAATGTAGAGATTAATCTCCTCAATTACACAATCTGCAGGTAGAAACACCTCAACTATCTAATGATAAATGAAACAGAGCCTGCTGTTAATCATCCTGTTCATTAAAACAAATGGAGACTTCATTGAGAAAGATCTCTATCTGAGCGGGGTGATCTTTGCCTTCTGAAGGCACTGAGAAGTTACAGTAGTTTCAAAGTTATTGCTTTTTACACATTGAAATGTAAATTTATGCATAGAGTTAGACAAATATCTAATCTGATCATCTGCTCTGCGGAGGGAGAAGTCCTATAAACGTTTTTTCTTTAGCGATTCCAAGTCCATATGTTTGTCTCACTGAAAGATGCCAGCATGCGAGGCGCTTCTAGTTACCGGAGAGAGGCTGTTTTGAAATGTGAGTCTCTCTACACAGCGAGTGTTTCAGTTCATTCTCCCCGTAGTGAGAATGTGGCACCGCCGGGGTCTTTGATCGTGTCGGCAGCTCTGACGGCTG